AGGGCAGGCGACTGGAAAAGACACTGGTGTTCGGTCGAACCGGTGGAAACAAAATCGTCACTCCCAGAATAACTATGCAAAATAACGATCTAAAGTCGAACTATTCAAGCCACAATATTAACATAAAAATGACTTTCGTTGCATTTGACAATGATAAACTTACCGAAAAGCCGTGTTATTCTCGGTCGGTATAATCCGCCATTTTATTTGAGTCTGTTTGCTACCTGACTCTGCCCGGTGACGTCATCACGTGCGCTATAGAAGGAGGTCTGTGATTCGTTGACTAAAATCGTCGATAGTGGGTCTCGTTGAAATCTCGTTACATAGGCATCGGATCAGATGTAGGTAGGGCGGAATTAAAAAAAATCACAAAATCAAAATCAAAGTAAAATAATAAAATAAAAGGGCATTAATAACAAATATAATAAAATTAAAATAAGTTTATAGCCAAAATAATTAAAGCCCGTACACTACATCAGATTTTAATCAGATTGAAATTCATCATGATTTGCAAATTGTTAATACATGTATATAGCCTATAATTGAACATGGTAATTTTTAAGTATGTCATTAACCTACTATTTTATTCACTGTAGCTAGTGTAAAATACAATGTTGTCATCAATCTATCAAATTACCAATCTACTGCTTGGCTTCAAACAAACCTTCAGCAAGTCAGTGAAGTCATTAAATAAAATATCACTTGATCTAACCATGGACCCAATAAGATCTATGATCTAACAGTGATTTTTTTTTAAACAAGAGAACAGGGGTGCAATATCCTCATGCCATGGCCATGCATCCCCTCACCCTGGGGAGCTGATCCTCTGGCAACCATAACATTTTGTTTGACCAGGGATCACATGTGGCCACAGTCTTCAACTGTGACCTGTCCAGTAGTAATTTTGGCCCCAGGGAAGCCATAGAATACTTCATTTCAACTTAGAATTATCAAAAACTCCACACCCTGGTAGGGAGAACCCTATCTTCCCCACTTGGTGGCGCCGCTGAATTGCAGTGCTCCCTCTTGCAGTTTTTTTCTAGAAATAACCCTGATCTAACCTTGCGTACTGGCTATTTTAGAGCTGATACATGTATGTGCGTTGTCACTTGACAGAACCCTGTGTGTCCACTTGCTGACAATGTTTTAATAATAACAAGCATCTTAACATTGACAAACTTGTACACACAGTTACTTTTGATCCAGAAACCTGCAAATAGTAAATAACAGACTTACACCTTGTCTACATGTATATTCCTACTGACACTTCACTTTCTGCAATTCACAAGAAATAATTTAATTCACAACCAGTATTTTTTTAGTAGGATGGGTTACTTTTGAGCTTGGTATGTATGGACAAAGGTTATCACTGCATAATTCCTGTTTATAATTAGATGTTTGCTCAACTCAACATGTTTATTTTAGCTGAAATTAATTTTTGCTGAAAAGACATTTATTTTCACTGACTTTTTGTTGAGTTGAATGTAAAATATAGGAAAAAAGTAATCTCAACATATTTTATTCTGACTGATTCAATCCTTCAGCGAAAATAGTGAAAATAATTTCAGTATATCACAGTAAATGATTGTAAAAGTAATCTTTATTTTGTGTTGCCTTGGTCAGTTAACTAATGAAGATGGCAGCCTCTGTAGGGATGAGCCCCCCAGTAGACCCAGGATTTTCACTGCACTTGCTGACTTCAAAAAAAATTAATGAGTGGACACTCAATTTTGAGACTGATCATATGAAATGGTTGGATGAAATTCTAATTGTTGCCAGGGAGACCTTTAGCAGGTAAGTATATGAATGAATGAATGAATCAGTGATATGATTAGAAACACATTTGTGACATTCCTTTTTGTATGCATCAGGTGACATTCCTTTTTGTATGCATCGCGTGACATTCCTTTTTGTATG